CTCAGAGAAATCTAAATCTTCTGAGCTTATTATTTATCGAAGCTTTGAAAGTTGTGAGCCTTTGCACAATAAACATAATCAATTTATAATTTTCAAAGTTTAAAGAAATATGCACATGGTGATATGCCTTTTAGCATGTCTAATTTCCTTTACATTTAAAACTTGTTTTTGAATGAAATTACTTTAAAGGAAGATATTTTCATGTGTTTTTTTGCATATATAATAGATAAGAGATTTGGAGCAAATTGGAACGATAACAGAGCGAAAAGGAGGCGATTAGAGCAATGGAGGAAATAACAAACTGGTTCCTAGGCGCCACCCCATGGCATCACTAATGGGCGCCTAGGTGCCAGGCCTGTTTCTGCAAACAGAGAAGATGGCGCCTAGACCCTAGAACTGTCCAGGGACAGTTTCAACACCACTTATGGAGTTATTAGATAGATTTTGATGCTTGGAGAGGGGAATTCAGAGAAGCCTTGGGAACTCTAGGGATATGATATGTAGATTTTCACCTTTTTAGAGAGATTGGTGAGGAGTTTTGAGAGAAATATGTAAGGGAGTCATTACAACATTGTTGAGAGCACTTGGAGATTCTATTTGAGGATTGTTTCATATCTTTTCAGTGGAAAAAAGCTAAGTATTGTGTTACCTATTGTCTTGTACTTGTTGTGAACTCATATGTTGTTAATTCATTTTTGTTAAGATGATGATTTTCATTGTAATCTTTATGCTTTGTGAGTAGATTCATTTACTTTTCTCTTATCATGCATAAGTGAAATGTGTAGGATGTTAGAATGATTATAGAATTGAACTTTCTATCTTAAAGTGATGGTTTTTACTTCACACTTAGTTTATTTATCAATCTCATCAGTTGGTTTGTTAAAATTTGTTGTGAACCCAAAAGATCCGAGAGGGCTATAGCTTCATTCAACTAGTAAAAACCACATTGCACTAGTGGGTGAAGGAAATGTCGTCCATAGAGCATTGCAAATAGATAGAGAAATAGACTTTAGTGGGTGTAAATTGGGGACTTTAGGGTGATATGCTAGAATCCCAATCAATTTGATCTAGTGTTTAATGAATTAAAGCTATGTTAGCAAAATTGAGGGTATAAATTGGAGACTCTAGGGTGACAAGCTAGAGTTAAGCTATGTTAGCAAAATTGAGGGTATAAATTGGAGATTCTAGGGTGACAAGCTAGAGTTATAACCAATGTAATCTAGGGTTTAAGGAATTAATTCTAGATTAACCAAACTTTTTTATGCACTTGGCAGAGAGTAAATAAGAGGAATGTTCCTATTTATCACTAGCTACATTAGCAATTCATGCTATTCAATCTTACAATTTATTGATACAATCACAGGAGAAAAGGTAGCTTTTATATTATGATATTCACCAACCCTATTGATCAATACAGGATTAACTTAGTCATAAAATCTCAACTTAGAAGTTGTTGTTAGGAAAACAAACCTTAATCGACATTCCAAACTAAGACCTTAGTGTAGTTGACTAGTACTTTTCTTATTGGACTCGTTACCTCGTTCTCTGTGAGATTGACAATCCAGACTCAATAGAGTTCTATATTATTGAAATGATATGAATACTTACGTGAGAAACCACAGTGAGTAATAATACCTAATTTTAAAAACTCAACCGATTTGTTGGGGAGCATATCAAGTTTTTAGCGCCTCTACAATGACTTATTTAAAAAGTGCTAATCCCTGGGGTGGATCACATGACTATGAGTGGCTTCATCTGTGACCACTAGTGTAGATACGAAAAGTGGAATATGCTGATCTCTTAGGGAGGAAGAAGGGGTGGCTGCTGGTGAGTGGCATACATTGGAAACATTATATAACTAGGATTACTCTTCTATTGTTATATTCCTAAAGTAATCGTAAATCTGTAAGAAAAAATATATTTTTTTTTATTTAGTCTATATCTATTTTACATTAGTTTTTACCTGATCATTTGACAGCTTTGAAATAAAAACACAACAAATCTTATTTCTCATTGTCATTAACTTCGATCATCACATTATAAGTGGTCTTGCCCGTGCCGTTATTAGGAAAATAATGTTAGTATGCTAAAAAAGCCATACGTTCAAATGCAATGAAATATAATACATTAGCATGTAAATAATGACAATCATGCCACAAACATGATATTCAAAAAAATTTACCATCAAAAGAGTGACATAGTCGTTCATATAGCCAAAAGGCTTATGGAGTCTTGGCATCTCAATTAAACCGTCAGATTGGTCTACCAAAAACCTCCACATGGCCTCTGACCAGTTATGCTATGCAAATTTTTATATATTTTTAGAAAAAAAAGAGAAGATCACTAAGTACATTATAATTATTGTATAAAAAAATCAGTTCGTAAGCAAATATATAATAGAAAGTTTAATAAATTTAGAACTAATTTTATTAAGATTAGGATTTTTAATTTTATTTTTAAGATCTATGGATGTGAACTTGGACAGAGGCTCGCTCAGCCAAGTAACTTCGGTTCCTCTGTTCGACAAACAAACTATAAGAGCCACTTAATCTATAATGAATTTTAGGTTGTGGTCACCAATGAAGAAGGCTTATCTCTCAACATTTCAACACTTAAGAATGTGCACGATAAGTGACATGTCTTGTTGGATGGGTGAAACGTTCTAAAAGTGATAGAGGCACAGATTCCTCGATATAACAACAACTTCCTCAAGGATGTCTAGTGAAAATTCATCACATACTGCTCGAAATATTGAGGGTCAGCACCTAAACGTAATTTCTTTGGTGGCCAATCTATTAAAAGTTTTCAAATACATTGTTGAAATAGTAAAATGAAAAATAATTAAGAATGTAAATGTAAAAGGACATAAGCATTGCGTGTTTACTTCAGTACAACAGTAATGAATCAGTTGCACCAAGTTACATGAGTTACCTCAGTACAACAAATTCAACTTAGTCGTACAAGGGAGATAATCAGAAATTCACATGTATGAGGGAAAAAAAATTAAAATCTCATTATATATATATACCCATTTTTTATTTTTAATTAGATTTTATACAAAACTCAAAATTGCTTTTAATTCATTACAAGCGTGGCTGTACAGGGGAAATAATTAAAAAATCATAGGGAAAATAAAAAAAAAATCATTATATCTTTATATCATTTTTTAAATTTTTATTCAGATTTTAAACAAAATTCGACATTATTTTCATACTTCATCAGAACCGAGTTTTATCGGTTGTACCGAGTTATTTTAGTACAACTAATACAACTTGATTGTAAAAGAAAAATAATCAGGTACGTATGAAGAAAAAAATTAAAAGTTTCATTATATTTATATACCAATTTTTTATTCAAATTTTAAACAAAACTCAACATTACTGTCTTATTTCAATACAACCACACTTTATCAATTGCACTGAGTTACCTGAGTACAATAACTACAGCTTGGTTGTAGATGATAAACAATCTGATAATCGTAGGTATGGGGAATATAGAAAAATAAAAATTCATTTTATTTATATACTCATTATTTTAATTTTATTTTATTTTTAAACAAAAATCAACATTCTTATATTACTTGAGTAGAATCATGCTGCATCACTTGTACTTAGTTCCCTCTATATAACCAGTACAAAATAGTTGTACAATCGAAAAATCAATCATTTTTTGTTCTGATTTTTAATCAATATTTATATTGTTTCATCCCTTCAACACAACTGTATTGTTTCGGTTGTATCAGTACAACTAATACCATATCGTTGTATTTTAGAAACATGTACCGAAAGAAAAAAAAATCTTATGAAAAAATCTATAAAAAAGAGTGAACAACTATTGTCTCACATTTGCAAACATATCATCAAATTTACTTACAAAATAAAAAAAAAAACTATTGGATCATATACAATAGCCGTAAGTTGTATTTTGATTCCAACAAAATTTAAGTCTCTTCTTCGTCATTACACCGAAAGACAAACACACATGTGAATCCCTAGAAAAAGGAAGTGTCGACTAAGCAAAAATAAAGAAACTAAACAGGAAAAGGGACAAAATATTGAAGTCTAACCATAATATAGCTGGGGAATCTTGAATGATAGAAAATATCGAACATCAAACCGTAGAACAAGCCTTAAAGATTTTGATGTTGATCTCGGAATATGAAATGTCGAATGAACCCCAAATGCCAAAAGTCTCGATCTCTGTATTTGTTTTATATGTTTTTTCTAAAAAGGACGAGTCGGGCTACGCATTATGCGCGCTTTTTCTCTCATTTTAGAGATTAAAATATATTTTATAGAATAAATATATAAAAAATAAAAAAAACAAGTGAAATTTTTGGATTGTCACACATAACTCTACGTGCTTTGTCCGGACATAATAAATTTTCACATTCTGGAGACCAGTATCTTGTAGCAAACCATACAGACATAACTCTTCATAGAGTCCCAAATCTCGAAACACAACTCATTTCTAGGGGCTGTATGACAACGAAAGAGATGTAAGTAGGCTTTGATAAATCTTGTAAATTCAAATTTAGTAAATCCAAAAAAGGTTAAATCTCAAAAATAATTTTGCAATGAATTTAATAAATTTTTTAAAAATTTATGAAACTGACAAGTTCTGTTATGATTTAAAAATTTGTTGTGGTTATCAGTAGCAACAAGTCATAATAAGATTTAATAAATAATGTAAATTAAAAATTTTAAACTATTTCAAAGTTGAAAAACTAAGTTCTTAAATTCAATTAATATTTTATTTCAAAATATGATAATTAATAATTATATATTTACTATGATAATTAGTTATAAATAAAATTTTTATCAAATTAATTATTAGATAGAAGTTTAACATTTATAAATAAATAATTAATTGGTTATTAATTACACTTATTGATAATTATCTATAATTCTTCTGAATGAATAAATAAACTATATTTATTTTTGATTACTTAAATAAATTTATTTAAGTATAATTAATCTGATAATATTTTAAGTATAATTCCTAGGGTTTTAGGTGGAGCGGAAAGGGGCGAAGCCGATTTGCTTGTATCTTCTCGCCTGCATTTCTCCATTCTTCTAGATCTTCCCATCCTAAAAATGGCGGTATGCTGCCCTCGCAATTATGTTTTCGTGAGCTTCGATCCATGTTTCCATTACTGTGATCGGATGCTAACAACCGTGTTTTTCAATTGGGAACGTGATGCAGGTGGAGCGTCTGCTTAAAGATGAGGCCACAGAAGAGAAGGGAGAGAGGGCCAGAATGGTATGTTTTCTCCATTTTCACCGCCCAACAAAGTTCTTTGGACTATCGATTTCTTTCTTTTCGCGGAGGTTTCAGGATTTATACTAGTGATACTGTTGTTTTGTTTTAGTAAAAAGCAGAGTAGTCGTTGTGACAAGTTTAAAAACAAAATAATGAAAAATTGCTTTTTGCTTGTTATAACCTCCTTCTATTTCTACCTAAAGACAATGGTATTATTGCGTTTAACTTTTGACGCTTTAAATTATATTTCGATGTTTAGATATTTGCATTTTTGAACTATGTTCAGCTTGAATGCAAGGGTGATTTTTGTGCCGTTGTTGTTGTTTTTTTTTTATTTTAAATTTACGAATGCGTTTTTTTTTTCATTTTTTTTTAACTCGTAGATAATAATCCAGTAAATGTTGAAGGTAAGAAGGCATCATTGCATACGAATTCATGTCTGGAAATTAGATAATGGACGCTGTGGCCTATATGATAAATTAAACATGTAATGTGATAAATCCGAATATTTTTTTTTTGGGGCATTTACGTACACACCACTCAATGTATTTAGATATCTAACACCTAAACTTTGCTTTTTTAGATTTATACTAACCAAATCTTTCATATCACATAAAAAATACCACCATTTTAAAAAGTGAAATACAACTTTTCATGCATATGCAAGGTATGTAAAAATTGAAATTTAGCTGTTAGATATGTAAACACATAGGAATTGAGAGGTATGTACATATATCTTCCTTTTTTTTTGTTTTGCATCTGCAATTGCTATGAGCTGTGACTTTGAGGAATCTGCAAAACTAGATTTTATTGTCTTGGAAACAACAAATTCTTATTCTGAGTTTAAGGTACTTGATGACTCCAGAAATATTGAGATGGTCTTTGATAGAGGTTTTAATTTTTTAAGAACTCACTTCTTATGCTTATGGTTTGTGATAAAGGTTTAAACTTTTTGAGAATCGAGTTTTTTTCTTAATGCTTTTTTTACTAAGCTTCAACAATCAGACATTAATTTTATAATTTCTGCTTCAGCATTTGATTGGCGAAAATTTGTTGTTTTGGTGGTCACAAACAATTCATTTTATTTGTTTTTAGGCATCATTTGTTGGTGCCATGGCCATTGCTGATTTAGTGAAGACCACTTTAGGGCCAAAGGGAATGGTAAGCATATGGCTTTTGCTGTTTATTTTTGGCATTATTGTTAGTGGTATAAAAAATTAACCTGATACATCAACCCAAGTCGAAAAATCCAGGTTTGAATTGTCTCGATTAATTTTTAGGTCGGGTTTGAGTTCAAAATCCCAACACATTTATTTCTTTAGTGTCGGGCTCAGGTTGATCCACCAACCCAAAATTGAGTCAACTCAGACTACCAACCTGAATTTGACCCATATAATTATTATGCATATATTAAATGGGTCATGCGAGTTGAGTTCGTGTTTAATTTTATGACCTATTTAATATCCGGGTTGGGTTTGGGTCAAACAGGTCAGGTTAATTTCAGTCCAAACCCGAACCCACCGTGAACCCAATTTGACACTCATAATTATTGTCAACAATCAAATTTTGTTTTTTTTTTGTCGCATGCCATTTTCAGGACAAGATTTTGCAATCAACTGGCAGGGGCCGGAGTGTTACCGTCACTAATGATGGAGCCACTATCTTGAAATCACTCCACATTGATAATCCTGCTGCTAAGGTTCTCGTTGGTATCCTTTTGTCTGTACTTTGGTCTCCCAGTGACCATTTTACTTCTTGTTAGTCAAATATTCCCTTTTCTATTTATGATTTGATTCAGTTATTTTTGTTATTCTAGAGGATTTACATAAATACCTCTCAATTCTTATGTATTTACATATTTATCACCTAAACTTCAATTTTTACATACATCCCACCTTACCTATGCATGAAAAGTTATATGTCACTTTTTAAAAGTTAAAATGGTGGTATTTTTGATTTTATATGAAAGATTTGATGGTATAAATATAAAAAGCAAAGTTCAGACATTAGATATGCAAATACTTAGGAATTGGGTGATATGTATGCAAATGTCCCAATTATTATTTATTGTATATGCTGGTACTGTATTAATTATGCAAGATTACCTGAGATCTCTTTCTTTTCTTAATTTTCTTCCTAAAGCCTCCTTTTTTCATAAAGCAATGTGGTTTTAAACAAATTGGGTACAATGGAAAGGATATGATATTGTTCCTTAATTTAATAAAAAAGATATATCTAAAGTTCAAGATGATGAGGTTGGCGATGGAACAACTTCTGTTGTTGTTTTGGCTGGGGAGCTTCTTAGGGAGGCTGAGAAATTGACGAATGCAAAGGTCCATCCAATGACTATAATTGCAGGTTTGTTTGCTCTTAAAACACAAATTCGTAATTTTTAAAGTAAGTGTAATGTTGGATTTTATATTGCTTCTAACTTGGATGCTTATTATGTCATGCTTGTGGAGCATACTTCCACTTATTGCTGCTTTAGTCAATTTTATGTTGGAAGATTTACATACCACAAAAGTCATATGTATTTACATATATAACACCTGAACTTCAATTTTTACATACATGCCATCTCACCTATGCATGAAAGGAGCATTTTACTTTTAAAAGTTAAAATGGTGGTATTTTTGATGTGATATGAAAGATTTGGGTGGTATAAATGTAAAAATTAAAATTTAAGTGTTAGATATGTAAATACATAGGTATTGGGTGGTATGTATGTTAATGCCCCTTTTATATTGCATATCTCTTCTATTCTGTTCTATTTTATTCATCATTTATTTTCTGCTTTTTTGTTACTTTATATTTTTAGGTTGAATGTCTGTTCTACATGTGAGATCAGTGTTAAAAAGCACCTTCAAATTTTAGGGCATTTATATACATGGCACACAATTCTTATGTATTTACATATCTCACACCTAAACTTCCTAAACTTTCATACACCTAAACTTTCATATTTCACACATAGCACTCAAATCTTTAATATCACATAAAAATGGCATTGTTGTCACTTTTTAGAAGTGAAATGCAGCTTTTCATGCATAGGTCTAGAACGCCAAAGTTCTATGTTTATAAATATGAAAGTTTAGGCATGAGATCTGTAAATACATAAGAATTATGTGCTACCTATGTAAAATTTCCTTTTTTTTGGGTGTTGTCAGTTCACCATTGGTTGTTGGGATGCCTTTAAACATAAGTTTTAATTTTTTTTTTAATTTTAAAACAGTTAGTAAAATCTATATGAGTGTGAACTGATTTAATAGTTAAAGTTGATTTTTGCTCAAACAGGTTATAGAATGGCGGCTGAGTGTGCGCGGAATGCATTGTTGCAGAAGGTTTTGGACAACAAAGATGATCCAGGTATTTCAGTATATTTCACTGTGGCTGCCTTCTCTAATTATCAATGATTATAGTATCTCATTGGTTGCTTAAGATTTAACAAGAATTTAACCACCTAACAATTTTTGTAAAGAGCTTTTAAAAATTTATGTTTTGGGCTTTTCCCTACATACCACCTTCCTAGGTATTTACATGTCTAGCACTTATACTTAACTTTTTACTTTTATACCACCCAAATCTTTCATATCACATCAAAAATAGCTCTATTTTAACTATTAAAAGGTGAAATGCACCTTTTTATGCATGTTTAAGTTGGCATGTATGTAAAAATTGAAGTTTCGGTTTTAGATAAGAATTGAGTGGTATGTATGTAAATCTTCATTTATTTTTTTGCTTGTTCACTTTTATTAAACATTTTAAGCAATGTATTGAAATTTTGATAATTACATTGTATATTTAGTTTCATTTTTTTTTATCTTGGTATTTCTTGCTTGAGTTTGATGAAGCTGTGTGATATTTTACTGCAGAGAAGTTCAAGTCAGATTTGATGAACATTGCAATGACAACTTTGAGTTCCAAAATACTTTCTCAGGACAAGGAGCATTTTGCGAAGCTTGCGGTAGATGCTGTTCTGAGGCTTAAGGTATATTATATGTTAGGGAAGTTTACATTCCTAGCGCACAATTCATATGTACTTAAATGTCTCACACCTAAACTTACTTATTTACACACAACATTTTGGTGCTTCAAATTCATTCATGAAATTGACCTTTAAAAATATGGTGACGGTGCTGTTTTTTATGTATGTGTGTAAATATGAAAGTTTAGGTGTGAGATATGTAATCGCATAAGAATTGTGTGCTACGTATGCAAATGCGTGTACTTGTCATTGTTAACTTTATGCAATATCTATCTTCTTTTTTTGACCTTTTTCTTTGGTAATGATGAAAGAATTTATATTTTATAGAGAAATATGTGATGTGTTTATGTCAAACAAAGCATATGCTGTGATTTACAATTTAGCTTGTATTAGAGCGAGACGAATCAAAAATTGAAAGTTTGGAAATTTTTACTTGGAGTTTTATTTAAAGGAAAATTTACATACATACAACTCAATTCCTATTTTTTTACATATTTAACGCCTAAACTTCAATTTTTATATAAATGCCACCTTAGCGATGCATGAAATGCTGTATTTCATTTTTCAAAAGTTAAAATGGTGGTATTTTGATGTGATATAAACTGGTTAGGTGGTTTAAATTTAAAAATATGTAGGTACATAGGAATTGGGTTGTATGTATGTAAATGCCCCTCTATTTTTTTTCATACTTTTAGTTGATAAAATATGGGAAAGATTCTTCTACATTTGCTTATGAAAGAAGCATCATTTGAATTGAGTCTATTTCTATTTCAAAGCGTGCTGCAGGTGTTATTCCTCGCATACATCGTCTTTTATTCATTTCTTCTTAAATCGCTGTAATTTGACCTTTTACAATGGGTTTCGGGGAGAGTTGTCGCTTTTTTTGATGGGATAATCATTTGAATTCATGATTGTTTCACTCAAAATAGGTCAATTGATATTGACTTCGATTACGAGGGCTTAATTTTTATGAGTCCAATATGCTAGGTGTAAATGAGTCAAGCTTGAGCCACCCCAGTGATTGTTTGTGCTTGACTCATTTGATTATTTATTTATTTTTTTGTTTAAAATGAGTCATTAGAATTAGATGGGGGTACCTAAAAGACAAATCAATTTTTTTTATGAGTAAAATTCAATATTTTAAAATTTGGGATGTTCATGAAGAAACAAATTTTATATGAGATAAAGTAACAAACACTATCAAACAAGTCACAAAAATTGTACTTGGAGAATCAAAAGAAAAAGTTTCTATAAATAAAAATAGTTGGTGGTGGAATAATAATGTGCAAGAAAAGATAAAATATAAGATGTTATGTTATAAAAATTGACTTAAACGTAAAAACTTAGAGAACTGGGAAAAATATTAAACGACCTGTAGAAAGTCTAAGAGAACAATCCGTGACGCTAAAAATTCTCCTTTTACTGATCGGCTCTTAATGATCTTTATAATAGATTAGATGCTAAGGAGGGTGAAAATTACATATATATATACAAACAAAGAGAAAAGAAAAGTAAAGATTTAACCCAAGTAAAGTGTATTAAATATGAAAATAAAAAAGAGCTTTTCTTAGAAAAAGGTATTCAACATTATGGGTGAGTTATTTTGATAAATTTTTTAATGAAGTTTCATAAAATACGATTGATTTTAGCGATCTTAATATTATTAATAATAATAAAATGTTTCATTTTTATTGTCGTATTAGTAAAAAAGAAGTTGAGGAGGCTTTAAAAAAAACAAAGGGTGGAAAGTCTGTAGGAGTTGATGATATCCCAATTGAAGTGTGTAAATATTTAGGAGATCTGAGAGTTTCTTGGCTTACTAAACTCTTTAATATTATTTTAAAACTAAAAGATGCATGAGGAGTAGAGTAAGAGCATTTTGGTCTCCATTTTTAAGAATAAAGGGGATGCGCAAGAGTGTGCAAATTATAGAGGAATTAAATTGATGTGTCGTACTTTAAAATTATTGGTGAGGGTAATTGAACATAGGTTAAGTCATATTATAAAGATTTCTCATAATTAATTTGGATTTATGCCGGGCAGTTTTACTATGGAAGCTATACATTTATTGAGATGTTTGATGGAGAAGTTTAGAGATAATAAGGAGGATCTACATATGATTTTTATTGATTTAAAAAAAATCTTATGACAAGGTTCCAAGAGATATCCTTTGGAGAGTTTTTGAAATGGAAGGTGTTGATTTGCCTTATATTCGACTCATTAAAGATATGTATACAAGAGCTATTACTTGTGTTCGAACAGGAGGTGGATTGACCAAATGTTTTTCTATTTCTGTTGATCTACATTAGGGATTGGCTGTAAGCCCATATCTTTTTGCTTTAGACATAGATGGTCTTACTGGACACTTACAGGAGGATGTACTTGGTATATGCTTTTTGCCGATGATATAGTTCTCTTGGATAAGACGAGAGAAAAAGGTCAGGAAAAACTTGAATTATGAACTTGAATTATGGAGGTCTACCGGAGGTCTACCTTGGAGTCTAATGGCCTTCTTTTGAGTAGAACTAAAACTGAAAACATGGACTGTAATGTCAGTAGTAGTCGCTCTAGTGACAGAATTGTAACTATTGGTGATCAAATTATCAAAAGCTGTGAACATTTTAGGTGATATTGATGGGGATGTTATTAGCAGAATTAAAATTGGTTGGTTGAAGTGGAGGAATGCTTTGGATTTATTGTGTGATATAAAAGTACCGCTTGGACTGAAAGGAAAATTTTATAAGATGGTAGTGAGACCTGCAATGCTCTATGGTGCTGAATGTTGGCCTTTAAATGAGTAGCATACAACTAAGTTAAGTGTTACCGAGATGAGAATGATTAGGTGGATGAGCGGATTTACACTTTGAGACAAAATGCAAAATGAATATATCCATGATAGGGTTGGTGTAGCTTCAGTGATGGACAAAGTTAGAGAGAGTCGTCTTAGATGGTTTGGTCACATTAAACGTCGATCATCTGATGATCCAATTAGAGGAGTAGATGTTTTAGATTCAATATATGTTAAAAAAGACAGAGATAGACCTAGGAAGTCTTGGGCATATTGTATAAAAAATGAGTTTAATTGATTAAAATTTAAAGAAAATGACACTAAATAAGATGCAATAGATAAAAATAATTCATGTAGCCGACCCCACTTAGTGGGATAAAGGTTTTTTTGTCGTTGTTATTTAAAATGAGTTCATATTTGAAATGACTCGAGAATCATATGTTCATATTCGACTCGATTTGAAGTCGTTTGTTCATTTCGTCTTATGTTCGGCCCAAGTTTAGCTCGAATGTTCAAAAAATATAATAAAATTAAAATTTTTTAAATACAATATAAAAAATCATTATAAAAAAATTATAATAAATATTATCTATTTAATTATTAAATCAATTCTTGCTAAGTTGAGTCAACCGTAATTGAAAAAAAGATTGTTTGTGTTTGACTTGTTTATAAATCAGGCTAAAAGAAAATATTTGTCTTTGGGGGGCCCTTTCACTCTGCTTTTCTTAAACATCCACGTTGTTGGCTGCTATTTTGGTGTACTGGAGCTAGGTGAAATAGCTATGGTTTAGATCTAGGTGGTAAAATGTGATCTATTTAATCATCAATAACTAGTTTTTGGTGTTTAACAATCTCATCCCTAAACAATAACCACCCGCTGCTTTTGTAAAATTGTGCAATTTAAGGCATGGCTCCATCCGAGGCTCTCAAAGAAAGCTCTGAGGTGTAGCCTTGTATTTTTTTTTATTGTATAGTTTTTGTAAGATTGGATACTTTCCTTGAGTTGGTGAATTTTAAAATTCTAAACAAAAAATTAATTCATGAACACAACGTTACGGAGCATAGCCTTCTCTTTTCCTCACATCAAAAGAGAACAGTTTCTATAAGTTCTTTTTGGATTTGGTGGTTACATGGATATATTTAACTTTATTTTTAATTGCCCTTCTACCCACATTTTAATTTCTTACAATTTCACCAAATTATGATGGAAAGATAATAGTAGATGTTATCATTATAAACGAAAAAGGAAGATTTACGTACATACCATTAAATCTTATGTATTTACATAATTAACACCTAAACTTCAATCTTTACATTCATATCCAGCTTACCCATGCGTGAAATGGTGTATTTAATTTTTAAAAGGTTAAATAGTGGTATTTTTATGTTATGTAAAGATTTGGGTGGTATAAATGTAAATGGTAAATTCGATCAACCATCGCGATGGTATAACCTCCTTAAACCCTTCACGTATTTTCTTCTTAGCTGACCCTAGGAATAGTTTAGGATAGGTGTTGTGGGTTCCGGTCGCCCACACGGGGTGAGCGTGGTCGGCAGACGCTAGTCGGCACAACCACACTCCCTTGGATTGGCCATTGATTTCCTAGAGGAAGTCTTAGGTTAGGAATCCTGTGCATGGCCAAAGCCCTTGCCGAGTCGAGCGATTTTCTGTGCGAATCTTAGACCTAAATCCTAGTGGGTTGGAATCCCAATTTCCCCTTGCTTTGGCTTTCCCTAACATTTTTTGGAGGGGTTGGGATGTTTGGATTTTGCAATGTGAGAAAAGCTTTGTAGCTAACTCAGCTTGCAAAATCTTGAGTTGTGAAATGGAAAAAGATTTGTAGCTAGCCCATTTCACAACATCGTAGAGTGTTTTCTCTTTTTGGAGATCTGGAGGTGAAACTCCCTGCACACCTCGCCAAAACAGGAGGTGGCTATGCTGCAAATCCAAAAGTTGAACCCTAGGTGCCTATGTGAGATTGTTAGCATGAGTGCTGCTCACTATTGTTTGTGATCATTTGCACCGTAACATGTTGCATTTCATGCATCTCACTTTTTGTCGTGACAGGCCGTTTCGGCCCGGTCAACATCATTATTGCCTCGATTGATCACTCCGACGCGATCAACATCACAATTTGCCTCGAACGAACGTCCTGGCCCCGTTGTCATCACTTTTGCCGTGACTGGTCACTCCGACCCAGTCGACATCACTATTGTCTCAACTGGCTACCCCGACCCGATTGGTATCACTTTTGCCTTAACTTGCAGCCCCGACCCAGTCAACATCACTATTGCCTCGATTGGTCTCTCTGGCCCCATCGAGATCATTTTTGCCTCAACCAACCGACCGACTACTTTGGTCCCACCGATTGCCCCGGTCCGATCGACCGACCACTTTTGTCCTACCAGTCGCCCAAGCCCGATCAACCAATCACCTTGGTTTGATCGTTGCCCCGACTCGATCAGAGGATCACTTGGTATCATCGGCCGCTCCGACCCGATCAGTCGATCACTTAGGTTCAACCGATCGCCCTGGCTCGTTCGACCTATCACTTGCATAATATATGTTTCGCATGTGCATTAGTGTCTGATTACTTGCTTGCATGGTGCACTATATCTTGTATGTGCTTGTCATTTGTAAGTGTGTTTGGTCGTTATTGGGGCAAGATGATTCTCCCCAATGGTGTCTTGCATGACATCTTGCATAGTCATTATCACATGCTTGAGTTGTAATTTGAGTGTCTATTCATACGCTCTCCCCACTTATATGATTTTCCTTAGTGAGGATTATCACCCATTTCGGGTCACTGCCACTACTACACACCCATTCTTTCAGGTCGCTGCGTTCACGGCACGGCTCTTTCTTTTCACTGCCTCCACGACACACCCATCCTTTGGGCCGTTGCCTCCGCGACACGCTCATCCTCTGGTCACTGCCTCCACTATACACCCATCCGTCGGGCTGCTGCCTCCACGATACGCCCACCCCTTCGGGCCACTGCCTCCATGACACACTTATCTTTCGGGTCGCTGCCTTCACGACATGCCTGCTCTTTCGTGTCACTGCCTCCACGGCATATCCATATGTCGTGTCACTGCATCCACGACACACAATATCCGTATACTTAGTGAAGGAGAGGAGCAATATCCATTATTGCCCTCTTTCGACGACGCTTACCGCATCCATGATGATTTGAGTGATTCTTCAAATGATACAGGCGAAACATCTCTTTCTCAGGCTTCTTCCATAGAGCCTTCTTCTATTGAGTGTCCTGTTGGGAGCGAACCTATTGGGTCCCCTAACTTTATATGCAATTTTATAATTCATGGATGGGTCATCTGTTTATAATACATTTATGATGGCACTTGAGGATGAGAAGTACTTCAAATTTCATAGTCCTATTAAAATATATTTTTTTGATATTATGTCTTTTGCTCTCAAGAATGTTGGTGCTAAAAACTAGGAGCAAGACTAAGATCTTTACAAAAACTTATTCACAACTAGGTTTAATGTTATATCAAGTAAGGAAAAGAAAAAAAAATTATTTGATTTGAGAATTATATTTGTACAGATAGGTCACTATAGTCTCAAAATAAACCCACTGAACTATTCCTTTAGGATGACTATAGAAAATTTCTTTCGATTTTGGTGAGGCACCATTGCATGGAAATGGATCTTTATAAGATCAAAGCCATTCTGAGTTCCACCTTCTAAAAACTTAACTCAATTAAGATCCGTTTAAGTAATTTTAGTTTATCTTAAATGCTTTATTTCTAATCTCTCTAGTTGGTGTCACCCATTTACTATTTTTATAAGGATGGATGCTAAGCTCCATTGGGAGTGCTCCAATCCTGTATAGAACTTTAATACTTTTGTGTTATGACACTAGGTGGATCTCTTGGAGCTCTATTAACTAAACTAATGAACATGAAAATTAGAATTCACTTTATTATTCAAGTCATCATCTTATTCTTATGGATTTTAAGTATCCTCTAATTAAGAAATATTATTTGTCCTTGTTTTTTGCTGCTCAGAAATTAAGGAGCATAGACTTTCTCATAAGGTCAACGTAATTTCAAGGTTTAATACTTTACAATTTATGATAACTTGGCCAGATCCATTTGGAATGTAAGTGTGATCGTTGATGCTACAATTTTAATTCGATATAACCTTCTTCTCCTTACGTGCTGTAAGAAATAAAGAATTAGCTGATTTTCTAGTAGCACACCAGTTTTTTGTTGCTTCACTGTTGAATGATGACCTTTTTAATGAACATATCATGAGTTTAAATAAAAAAAAAGTAACTATTATTGGGAGATGTATTTTTTATGTCGAGGCATCTTCAGAAAAAGGTGACAAATAGTAATATACTATCCTAGGAAAAGTAGGAATTAGTCTTATATTCATAACTTCTTATCAATGGATGATGCATTTGTCTTACAATTTATCAAAGCTTTTCTCAAATAATAAAGTAGAACATGATGCTCTGATTAATGGCTTACGGTTAACTATCTTGATGAACAATAAGAAGAGGTTTTTGGAAGATTCCTAATTGATAATCAATCAAGTTGTTGGAATCTATGTAGTTCTCATACTGAAGCTCCACCAATGCTATTAGTACACAATGAAGCTACTTGAGCAAATTTCTAATATGAAATTATTCTATGTATATGATAGATGCTTTAGCAAAGCCCACTGTAATGTGCCTTTACTGAAAAGGAATCCATTACTCTAGAATTACAGAATCACCATGTTTTGTCACACAGAGATAAGGAATACCTTCATAAGTCTTCGAATGAGGAGAATGTTAGCCTAGCCATAATAGTAGAAATGATTTGATTGGAGACAACTTTTCATTAAATATTTGCAAAAGGGCAAACTTCCTCAAGAGAAGATCATGATCATATGCTTTGATTGATGGTACCTTGTACCATCTATCATTCAAAGTAGAGAAGATCATTGTCAAATTGCTCAATGGTCTATGTGGAGCTCACCAATTTGTTCCTCAGATGAAAGACAGGATTATGTGGCTCAAGTACTATTGCCTATAATGATCTTAAGTTGCAAGAATGCCACACAAAAGTGCCCGGATAGGAATTGGGTGGTATGCATGAATGTAAATGCCCAAAAAATTATGTATGTAGTGTTTCTGCCTTGCCTGCTCCTGGTGCCTATAAATACAGTACAAGCTTTGCATTTTAGTACTTTGGTGAACTTCAATTACTTACTTTGTTTGCATTGCACATAAGATAATTATCTTGCAAATTTACCAGGGTAGTACAAACCTGGAGGCTATCCAAATCATCAAGAAGGCTGGAGGATCCTTGGTAGATTCATTTTTGGATGAAGGGTAAAAAATCAAGCTTTCCTCCATTGTGGCATGTAATATATTTTAGCTTTAGATCTTGTGTGAAACTACATATATTCTGCCGAATCTTGCTTAAATAATGTTTTTTTATGGAAGATTTACATGTATACCTCTTAATTCCTGTGTGTTTACATATCTAACACCTGAACTTCAATCTTTACATATATGCCACTTTTCCTATGCATGTGGAGATGTATTTCACTTTTTAAAAGATAAAATAGTGGTATTTTTAATGGGATAAGAAAGATTTTGGTGGTATAAATGTAAAAAAGTAAAGTTTAGGTGTTCAATATGTAAATAAATAGGAATTGGATGGTATGCATGTAAATACCCCTTCTTTTATTTGTGTAAGTTGGTACATATGTAACACCTAAGCTTTCATATTTACATATATAACATTCAAATCTTTAATATTACATAAAAAAATATGACTTATTTTTTAAAGTGAAAGATACATTTTCGTGCACTGGTTTATGACACCGAAAATGTAAATATGAAAGTTTAGGTGTTAGATATGTAAATACATCAGAATTGTGTGGTATGTATGCTGATTTCCCAATTTTATTTTACATATAATACTGTCATCTGTCCATTTAAGAAGTTTTAAGCACAAGTTTCTTTGTCATATACATCACAAATTGAGTAAAATTAATGCAGTGAAATGAATTAAGTGTTTTTTTTTTACAAAAGTGGCTATTGTGTGGTATGTATGCTGGTTTATGTCCCTTTTAAACTTTCCAAATACACCATATAAAAGAGCCTCTGCATTCTTATGGCTATATCTCTATAGTATCTTGTTCTTTGGATCTCCAGGCCATTATTATGGCAGTCATATGGGCACAAGGCGACATCATGCTAAGTATTTATTTATTTTGTTTGTCTAATCGAAGATCGACTTACATACCGCTCAATTCTTATGTATTTACATATCTAACACCTAAAATTCAATTTTTACAGACATACCACCTTACTTATGCATGATCAGGTGTATTTCACCTTTTTAAAGTTAAAATACTAGTATTCTTGATGTGATATGAAAGATTTGGGTGGTATAATTTTAAAAAGTGAAGTTTGGGTGTTAGATCTATAAATACGAACTAAGGAGCCAAGTCATGGTTGGCTTGAGCTTGGCTTGTTAGCTCATAGAGCTCAACTCACGAGCAACTTATCGAGCCAAGCCTGTGTTGGCTCACGACTCGGCTTGACTCAGTTACACCCCTCCTTCCTGCATTGTCTTTTGACTAGGTGGTTTAACCTTTTGCTTCACTGCCTTTCTGGTCTGATTCATTCACCTGCAGATATGGGCCTCATTTTTATAATGCTTTTGTAGCTGTTCTCACTTTTTGAATTCCTGATGTATCTTAATTTTGATTTCTGCTGGATCCATTGTAAAGAATTTGGGGCTTTTACATAGATGCAACACAATTCTTATGTATTTGCAAATTTTCTTAAAGGGAAGTACACCTTTTCTGGTATTGATAAGGTGGTTTGAATGTAAAAAATTAAAGCTTAGGTTCATTTTTTCTTTTATAAACCTCAAAATTTTTATATCACATTAAAAATATCACTTCATTGACTTTCAAAAAGTGAAATACAACTTTTCAGTTATAGATAAGGCGGCATATTCTTGTGCTGTTTTTAAAATTTTTAATTTTTTTTCAGTTTTTCACAATCTAATCTTTTTAATGGTCATCAAATTACTTGTTTTATGGATACATTGATCTATTACTATATCATCTATAGGTTCATTCTTGACAAAAAGATTGGCATTGGCCAACCAAAACGGATCGAGAACGCTAAAATATTAGTGGCAAACACTGCTATGGACACTGACAAAGTGAAAATTTATGGTGCTCGAGTTCGAGTTGACTCGATGGCTAAGGTCGCCGAGATAGAGGGCGCTGAAAAACAAAAAATGAGGGAAAAGGTTCAAAAGATTATTGCTCATGGAATCAACTGTTTCATTAACCGACAGTTAATCTACAACTTTCCCGAAGAGCTTTTTGCCGATGCGGGTATACTCGCAATCGAACATGCCGACTTCGAAGGGATCGAACGTCTCGCTCTTGTGACAGGTGGCGAAATCACTTCTACTTTCGATAATCCTGAGGCTGTGAAGCTCGGTCATTGCAAGCTTATCGAAGAAATAATGATTGGCGAAGATAAGTTGATTCACTTTTCTGGTGTTGAGTTGGGCCAGGCGTGTACAATAGTATTACGAGGGGCGAGGTATGCACCAATTTTTAGCAATTTCATAAATTCTTTTTGGAAGATTTACATACATACTACTTAATTCCTCATACTACTTCTTAATTCCTATGTATTTACATATCTAAAGCCTAAACTTCAATTTTTACATACATGCCTTCTTATCCATGCATGAAAAGGTATATTTTACATTTTAAAGTAATTGAGCAAGTTTGAATAAAATTTTAAAAACTCTTATGTTTGTGAACATCCTCCTTTTGTTGTTCAATAAGATGCTCGCTAAGAACTCTATAAAATAATTATTTAATTACTTATTTGATGATTTATTGTAAGTTATATTATCATTTTCTTATGTTGCATGCACTTTGAAAATTGCATATATTATTTGCGACATAAATGAAATGTAATAATCTAACAACTAATGTATAAGCTACTTGTTTTTTTTTAATATCTAGGCCCATCAAATAACATAAATAATACTCATTTTTAATTAATATTCATATGTTCATTTATGGCTAGCAACAAGCAGGTATTTGAATTGGTTTTAACAAAATAGTACTCAACTCATTTACAGCCGTATCTATAAAGTTAAATGATAGGATTTTATGAATTCTGTTCGCTTGTTTATGTATGATATCATATTGTCATTGAAGATTAAAATTTATATTACCCTATTTATGACAGAATATATCACCCTACCATTGCTTCAAAGCTGCTTATTTATAAATGTTACAATCCACTTTCTATGTACTAACATACTCAACTTTGTTTTTTTACATTTATACCACCCAAACTCTCATATCACATCTGAAAATACAACTATTCGGACTTTTAAAAAGCATGTATAGATAAGGTAGCACGTATATTTAAAATTTGAAGTTTAATTGTTAGATATGTATATACATAATAATTTAGCGGTATGTACGTAAATGTTCTTAATTTTTAATGAGTAAATGCTGGCCACTAATATTGATACATACTACATAATTCTTATATATAACATACCTAATGTTAAAATTTTGATATTTACTTAATATTGCATAAAGATGCCTCTAATATCAACTTTTTTAAAGTGCAATACACCATTTGCATTCATATGTTAAATGAATATTTACATAAGAACAACCAAACTCCCTATGTTTTTACATATCTAACATCTAAATTTAGTTTTTTTACATTTATACGACCCAAATCTTTCATATCTTATAAAAAAATACTACCATCTTAACTGTCAAAAAGCGAAGTACACTTTTTCCTGCATATATTTAAGATGACATATATGTAAAACATGAAATTTAGTTTTAGATACGCAAGTATATAGGAATTGAATGGTATGTATGTAAATATTCCTTGATATATTATTATTCTGTTTTAATTTTTAATTTTCAGCCAGCATGTCCTGGACGAAGCCGAAAGGTCCCTGCATGATGCTCTATGTGTGTTGTCCCAAACTGTGAACGACAGCCGAGTATTGCTCGGTGGCGGCTGGCCGGAGATGGTGATGGCGAAAGAGGTAGACGAACTTGCTCGCCGGACTCCGGGCAAAAAGTCACTTGCCATCGAGTCATTCTCCCGTGCTCTCCTAGCCATACCAACCATCATAGCTGATAATGCTGGGTTGGACAGTGCTGAGCTTATTTCTGAGCTGAGAGCAGAGCACCACAAAGAGAGGAGCAATGCAGGAATTGATGTTATATCCGGAAGTGTAAGTCCCAAAATTTTCTCTTACTTTTTTACCATACTTATGGTGATAAAAAAAATATGGGAATTTACATACGAACCACATATTTTTCTTATTTGTTTACATATTTAATACCCGAAGTTTGATATTTGTATGTATGGCACTTTAGAATTGTCATCGCATCAATGCATATGTATGAAAATGTGTATATCACCTTTAAGAGAGTTATTATTAGTCATATTTTTGATTTGGTGTTATATATATAGATATATATGTGTGTGTGTGTGTGTGTGTGTGTAGACTACCTTAGGATTATTATTATATCAAAATATAATCATGCATATTAGTGCGAGGTTAAAGATTTGAGTATTATATACATAAATATTAAAATTTAGGCCATAGAGCTGTAAATACATAAGAATTGTGTGCTATATATGTAAATACCTTCATGGGCAACTTATATACATCTCATATAACTCTTATGCATCTACATATCTAACTCCTACAATTGTATATTTACATAGAAAACACTTTATTATCATAATCAATAAAAAGCGTGTCCCTTTTAAAAAGTGTTCATCATAATCACATCAAAACATATGTGTGAAAAGACATATTTCACTTTAAAAAGTTTAGTATTAGTTGTATTTTTTATGTGATGTCAAAGTTCAATAGTGTCAGGCAAGTAAATTTTAAAGGCTAGGTGTTAGATATGTAAATGCACAAGACTTGTGTAACATGTATGTCAGTGCTCTTTTGGGGAATTCACATGCATATATTCTTATGTTTTTATATGTCTAACACCAAAATTTTTTATTTATATGCATGTATATATGTGTCACTCATAATCACATGTAAGCATATAAATTATTAGTAGTATTTTTACTATGATTATAAAGATTTGAGTCTTATATTCTCTAAAATAATTTAATTATTTTTAAATTTATTTTGCGAACTAAAATCACTTTATTTCATGCCATTTAAACATAATGGAGCAATTGTATTGTTGCAGGTTGGAGACATGGAGAAATTGGGTATATCAGAGTCCTTCAAAGTTAAGCAGGCGGTCTTACTGTCTGCTACTGAGGCTGCTGAGATGATTCTGAGGGTTGATCAGATTATCACATGTGCACCTCGCAGGAGAGAAGAGAGAATGTGATGGAGGTCAATCCTGCAATTTTCTGGTTTATATTTGCCAGTTTATGGATTTTCTGTTACTTTTTTGTCATAGTTTTTGTATGCTGTGCTTGTTATTAATCTGCAACACTATTTTATTGCATCTGATTGAGACCTTTGTTATATTTTACTGGACTATCTGTAACATGAGTTGTAGAAATAGTTTGGTTAAGAGTTTTGAAAATCCTTTTTCTCTGTTATATCCTATTGAGTGTTATATTTTCATTTAATTCTAATAAATTAAAACCATTTTTTTATACAGTAAGCCCAAATCAGTGTCATATTTTCATTTAATTCGAATAAATTAAAATCATTTTTTTTTTATATAATAAGCCCAAGTCATTTTGGGTCCACCTCTATCTTTCTTAACATAAGTCGAACCCAAAGCATCTGTTGTCCTAACCGGATGATCAGATGGTCGTCTTTTAATGTGAGACGACTCTTTACTTTTGTCTATCATGGAGCTACACTAATTCTTTCATGGATATGTTTGTTTCACATTTTGTGCGTAGGCGTCAAGCTATTCAACCAAAAAAGAAAAATATTGGGTTAATTCTCCTTATGCTTGAACCTATGTAAAAATATTGGGTTTATATTTTTATATTAATTCTCTCAATAAATGTACAACTTTCAAGATAGGCTAGTCTGGTATGAATCTAAGTTCTATCACATCATGGGCTATGTTCAATTACTCTCTCCCATAACTTTAGAATATGAAACATTAATTCAATTCATCTATAATTTGCACATTTGTACGTCCCTTTATTCTTAATAATATGAATAAATAGACTCTTTATCAAGTCATTAAAAAGTTTTTTAGTTTGGTTTTTAAATAATATTAAAAAAATTCGCAAGCTAAGAAATTCTCGGACCTCTTAAATATTTCTACATTTCTCATTAAAATGCCATCAAATTCTATTATTTGTTTACACCATTTTATCATTAATTTTTGTTTTACTTATGCGACGGTTGAAATAAAAATGTTTGTTGTTATTTAGGATATTCAGATTGTTAAAGTCGATCATATTTTTACAATATTTTTTAACTTATTTATATTGAAAATTCTCGTACAGGAAAAATATTTTTTTGATTTTTATCATTGATACATTTGAGCTAGTTCTTTAATTTGTTTTCTTTTTTTTGATCACTCACCTTCTTTAACATTAAATTTATTATAAAGATCATTAAAAACATAATTGTTGGCATCCTACGTTGTCCGCTTAGGCTTATTATGAGACACCTTATATATATTTTTTTCAATTCTCCAAGCTTTTACATATGATGAATTAAAAATAGCTTAATTTTTTTATTTGTTTTTATCTTTTTTTTGCACTTTTTAATTTCATGGCCAACAATTTTTATTTATTGGCGTTTCTTCTTTTAATTCTCTAAGCACATTTTTTATTAACTTGCCAATGTTCCACCACCACACTGAGTAGTGGAAAACGACGAGAAACCGTCGGAGCGCCCATCAGAACACAAACCTTCTGATTGGGGAGGGACGGGCGACCTCTTCTCTCACTCTAAGAGAAGAAAGTCACCTCCAAACCATGACATTGATTTTTTCAAAAACATCCTAAATTTTAAGATTTTGATATTTACTCATTAAAATAATTTTATTTATATCGTAGATTCAGTAAAAAAAAAAATGTTATAAAAACTCTGGAGAAATAATAAGAATTGTGACTAATGTTTAAATTTTAATTTTTATATTTATATCATCAAAATCTTTGATACAATATTAAAAATATAAATATTGTAACTTATAAAAAAAAATGAATACATCTTTTCCTGAATTGATAAGGTGGCATGTGTATAAAAAGATATAAATATATATTAATTAAATAGTATGTGTTTAAATATTCCTTGAATTAATTATGGAGTAAATGTGATGATAAGAAAATCTCAGTATTAAAATAATTAAATTAGCCAGATAATTGAGGAGCCTTTTATTATTTTCATTTTATTTCCATTTTTTTTCAATAATTTATATCGGTATATAAATTATTTAAATTTAATATTATACGTCTCTCTTATTAATAAATATCTTAGGTTTAAATGCTAGATAATAATATTAATATTTCTGCTGGCATACTTTTTAATTTATAGACAATTTTTTTATGTCACATAAAAATAACCAATTTTTAACTAAAAAAAAAGAGACATCTTTTCATGCCCGAATAAAATGCTATAAATAAAAAAATAAAAATTTATGCGTCAAATACATAAATACATAAGAATAATGTCATATTTAGCCAAAATCACCAAAAAAAAATTATCAGAAGATCACGGAACAAACATATATTTACATATCTAACATCTAACTTTACATATATGTCATCTTATCTATGCACAGAAAAGATGCATTTTAAATATTTAAATAAAAAAAAAAATGATATTTCTTATGTCATATGTGAGATAAAACATTTGCAAAAACATAGAAAACAAAGTTTGACTGTTACAAATATAAAAACATGGTAGAAATGTAAAAAAAAACAAAATTACAATGTCACAAAACAAATTGTATACATCCAGAAACCTTTTATGACATGGTCATGATTGTCATGATTTTTTTGACAAAAAATTTACATTTCTCACTCACATCTGGGAAATCTTTTGTAACAAAAAAAAAAAAAAAGAGAAAAGAAAAGAAAATCAATTTACTAAATTGAGGACTCTGAAGGAATCCATCACTCTTCTCAGATCCTTCTCTTCATCCAGAAACACATTTTCAGGGCTTTGTAATCTCAACTCATACAGGCGATTGTTCCCAACACCAAGAACAGATAGGTATCTTCTGTCCCATTCTAACTGAACTATTCTGTCCTGTGGCATCACTGCTAGCTCATTATTGTTTGCATATGATTTGATATTTACCTGAAATTGACATAAAAATAAAGAAATTTACATGTATATCCCATGGTGCTCAAGTATTTGTATGTTTGATACCTAAAATATGATATATAGTTATGCAAAGATTTACATACATACCACTCAATACCAATGTATTTGCATCTCTGATATCAGAACTTTAATTTTTAGATATATGCCGCTATGCATGAAAATATAAATTTCACTTCTTAAAAGTTAAATAGTGATATTATTGATGTGATGTGAAAGATTTGGGCGGTAGAAATGTAAAAAAGAATAAAATTTAGGCGTCTGATATGTAAATACATCGGAACTGAGTGATATGTATGTAGATACACCTTTTACTTGTATAATACTTTGGAATCATAATCACATTATAACATATGCATGAAATTTTTTCACTTCAAGAAAGTTAATATTAGTGATATAATTGATGCGATATTTATGTTTTAAATATTATATAAATTAATATCAAAATTATAACAGTAGATTTGCAAATATATAAAAATTATGTGGCATGTATCAATATTAGTGGGCAGCATCTTCTCATTACAAATTAGGAAGATTTATATGCATACCACTAAATTTTTATGCATTTACATATCTAAAATATTTACATATATGCCCTCACCTTACCAATGCATGCAAAGATATATTTCACATTTTAAAAGTTAAAATGATGATTTTTTTATGTGATATATGTAAATACATAGGAATTCGGTGGTATGTATGCAAATTCTCTTGAAGAAAAAAATGAAAGAAAATTGGCAAGTCTCAATGCATTTTAATATCGACAAAATGGATGGAAGGATATATCAATTGGAGTGTTGCAAGTCGCAGTACATCAAGATGGGCTGAGTTCTAAAATTGTTAGCTTTGCATTGAGATGAGTGCAATCCATGATGCATTACAAAAAAAATTAAAAGAGGGACGGAGCTGAAACACATTGCTTAAAGGGAAATTTACATACAGACCACACAATTCTTGTATATTTATATATCTAACACCTAAAGTTTGATAATTACATCTATAACACTTTGGTGTTACAAACCTATGCATGAAAATGTATATGTTACTTTTAAAAAGTTAATAATACTGGTATTTTTGAAGTGATGTTAAACATGTGATATCCTTACTTGGTTTGTAATATATTTAAGATTCATTTGGGATGATTGCGGGCTTTTATTAAGACGGTTGTAAAGATGTTATAGAGAAAGAAACTTTCGTGAAAATTTTTGTGGATATTATAAATATATTTCTTTTTTGAAGGCGTCGGACATTGACTTTGATATAGTTATACATTTTCAAATCTGATTGTAAAAAGTAACTTTCAATCACAAAAATTTCTAAAAAACAACAACAAAATAACAATCGAATGAAGGTGTGAACGGCATTTTAAAAAGTAAATTAGCATGAAAGCTGCCCCAAACAAGTCCTTAGTATCTTAAAATCAGTTAAGAGCTTTATGGTTCTCTACCAACTTACATTATGCTGCTAAAACCATTTTTAATTCAAGCAAGCGTTGGGAGGTATGTAAGATATATACCATCTTACATATGCATGAGAAGCTGTTTTCACTTGTAAAAGGTTAAGAATACGAAAAATTTGGGTGGCAAATGTAAAATTAAAATTTAGGCGCTTGATATGTAAATATATAGGAAATAGGTAGCATGTATCTAAATTCCCCTTTTTTAGCTGTATACTAACCAAGTCTACAGGGAAAAAAACATAAATAAAGACAGAAACTTCAGAAACACATGAAAAATTGACAGTAAAAGCCCTTCAAGCCCCTTACCTCAATCTGATAGTAGAGCTTCCCATCATCTGCAACTCTCGATGATGTCGACAAGATGCTTGATTCACGACGAACGCCTAATCTCGTAGACATGAATTCCGTCAAATATTGCTTCAGAACTTTTGCCGCAGCTGATTCTGGAGGTCCTAAATCTTCAACACTTACATATCTCGATGACGAAGGCGACGACAATTCGATCGATAAGTTCTCGTCAAGAACGAAGGGGTCCCTGAAGAATATATCTGCGCCGGCCCCTCGAACTTGTATCCAATTTTTGGGATACAATAGCGAGTAACCATCAAATATATCTATATATTCTTTAAATTCATCTGATGGTTCAGCTATGCTGACCCCGCTGAATCCAAGTTGTGGGAAGATAGAAGCCGCGAAGAGAGAAGACAACACATGCCTCCTAAGAGCTGTAAAAAAGTACGGAAAATTTATATACATACTATATAATTCTTTCGCATTTCCATATCTAACAGCTAAAGTTTGATATTTACACTTATAACGCCTTGGTATCATAAAAGTGTGCATTGAAAATGTGTATTTCACTTTTAAAAAAGATAGTGATCATGTTATTCTTGTTGTGACATTAATGGTTTGAGAGGTAAGCATGTCAATATGAATGCTTAGATGTTAGGTATGTTAATACGTAAGGGTTGCGGGGTATGTATGTATATGCAACAAAAATTCATCAAAGCTGAACAAAAGCTATACCCGATATGATAAAGAAAGGAAACCCAGTAGAGATCCTAGTTAATAGTTTGTCAATGATTTTATGTAATTTATCAAGCTATTACTATTCATGTTTTGAATAATGGTGTTGAAAAATATTCAAAAACCAAAGAAAGAAATGTAATGTGTTAAAAAAAATTTCTATTAATGTATAGATAGTTGCTCTATCTTATTTCTACTTAATTCCAAAATAAACGTTAAAAGGATGCCAAATTAAGTTTCATTCTATAATGAGTGATGGGATGTTTCATACCATCATTTCTATTTAATTCTAAGATGGATATTTTATGTGATCAAGTCTGCATATTGGTATTTGATAAACAAGATTCATGATCCATATTTTTCTTCTTCACCTTTAATCATGTATTTTATCTAAGTAAATGTAAGTGTTAGAATTTGTGGCCTGAATTTTGTTGGGCTTGGATCGAAAAGTCTGCGGTGCGACATATGCAGTGCAACCAAAATTAAGAAGAATATGTTTAGGGATTTGTGGTAATGGAGAAATTGAGCTGATAGTGTAGTTCATGTAGTATAGACTTTTATGTTTTTAGGGTTGGTTTTATTAGGTTTTTTGTACACGGCTATATACATGATATTTCCATTAGTGTTTCACATGAGAAGAAAATCAACGATCGAACCCTAAGTGCTACCCTTCGTAATTTCTTTGAGAGTAATGAATTTTCTTCTCATATGCTTATGATTTTTCCCATCTTGCATTTTTCACATGCATTAGTGTTATTCTTTTTGTTTCCTTTATTGTTCATTGCATTAGTTTCGCAATGGAGGGTAGTCTAAATTTACATCCAAGGATTGAATCAAGTTATATAATACAGATCCAATTTGGTTCTGATGTAACTAGGGTATGGCACAATTTCAACAATACTAGAACCAAACATATTTGGCTTGGGTATTAATTTGGTCTAGAAATGAACCAATCCGATTGAATTGCACCCCTATTTGTGTTTGCAAAATCACCAAGGGGTTGTTTGGTATCAAATTTGGTAAATTCTATAAATTTGAATTTACTAAATCCTACCAACATCAAGATTTAATAAATCTGGTATTTAAGGGAAAACTGGAAATTTTTTTTTGAGAAGAAACAATACTTACTAAATCTAGGATTATGGTGAGCGTTCGGTAGGTTCAGATGGTTCGGTTTTCAAATTAGGCAAACCCACTTCAATCAAAATCCAAAATTTGATGTACCGAACCAAACAAAATTTTGATAAAACCGAACCAGTCAAACTGAAATTTAATTCGGTTTACATGGTCTGGTTTTACACAAATTGAAATATAATTTGAAGGTGTAAGGATATAATGATAACAAGAGAGAATGAATATTACAAAGTAAGAATTATGTAATGTTGATTATTAAAATAATTACTTCCTAAACATGTCAAGAAAGATTTCCCATAAAAATTGGTTTTTGGTTCATTCGGTTAAATATGAAGTAAAATCGAACCGTAAATCGAAAGTCAAACTTAAACACTTCTAAAATCAAACTTAAGGGGAGTGTTTGGTCGGGCATATTAATAGGATTTATCATGGGATTTATGAAACCGAGCCAAGCAAAAAAATTACTTAAGTTCTGTGGATTTATGAATTTTGGGATTTAAGGTCCTGAATTTTGCCTTTGATTCAGCTTAAAGATCCGGCTTTACTAAATCTAACGAGATGAATGAGATAGTAGATAAAAACAATTTTAACGGAACATAAATCACAACTACAAAATTTCAACATTCAACCAAACCCTAACTGTAGAAAGTATAATATCAACTTGAACTGCAAACAACATTAAAGCTTCGTTTTATTTCTTCTACAGAGCCAAATTCCACCAAGAAGACCACAGAAGGCATTAAAATTACTGAATCAGTTCATTCAACAGTGAGATTTTATTGCACCATTGCGAGAAAATATATATAAACGAAGAATTTGTAAACGGAAACTATGAGTTCCATATGAGAGAAAACAATATCGATCGAAAAGTAAAGACAGACCTTGAGAACGGGTAGCGCCGAGTCGAGAGTTGGGGCGAATGCAGGAAGAAAGCGGAGTGGATAGTTTTCTGTGTGGAGAGGGAGAATTTAGCAGCGGGAATCGCAGCTGAGGGAAAGAAGCGCCTAGGGTTCCCATGGTGGATGGGCGGGGGCGGCGATGAGTAACCAGCGCCGGCGGCCCGCAGTTACGCTGGGAGTGCAGATGTTGCTGCTAGCTACTTTGGGATAAGTCACAAATTAAAAATGACGAGAAATTGTGAAGTATATTATATATATATATATATATGTATATATATATATATATATATATTAATCCGAAAAAAAAATTAATTAACAAAAGAAAGATATAGAACCAACTCACACAAAATAGAATATATGGATCCTCCACCGAGAATACAACACATAAAATGAAATACAAGAAAAGATAACAAAACACAAAGCAAATACTCATCAACAAAACCAAATGATAAAAGATAACCATGAATAAGAACAACTACCTCTCTAGGAGGATTGATATTAATGTGGATGCCTTCCGAAACCGCACCTCATTTAGCCAATTAATCCGCAGGTTGATTCTTTTCTCTAAGACAATGAGACCAGATAATATTAAAGCATGACAACAAACTAGAAACCTTTTCCACACTATTATCCCATACCACGTACAAAGAACTCCTCCTTTACGAATCTTAAAAATCTGGGTAGAATCTGTTTCTATATGCATGTTGAAGATCCTCAATTGTTTCATAATTTGTAAACAACTTAAAACAACCATTAATTCAGAATATAATGCATTGACAGAAGAGCATTTAGAAGCAAAAAAAAAAAAAAAAAACATTTACCTAGATTAGTAAGAAATACTCTATTAAACCCTTGATTTGAAGCTGCCATCAATGTTAATTTTAATCATGTCAAGGGGCGGCCTGCACAACCTTATAAGTTGAACCACAATTTTTTCGGTTCAGCCTGGAAATTAATGGCCTCATAATGATGCTGCAAACATTGTGTTAGCTTGGACTTGTAATTGGTTTTTTGAGCTTTATAACAAAAGAATTTTATGTGAAAATAAACTTTTTCAACTAAATAAGAAATCATTCTCGATCAAGCACCTAAAATAGATTTTGAAAATCCCATCCATATATGTTCAAAAAATCGGACACTTTCAACATATAATTTTGAGTTCCCATAGCAAAGTTATTAAGGGGGCCCATTAAAGATCAGTCATCAAGCTAAAAGTTTACATTACCTCTACCAATGTCCCAAAGAAAAAATATGTTTAACCTTGTCCCTCTCTTTTAAAAGCTCCTTTCAAATTAGAGAATCATCAACTTTGGTGTGCATAACAATGTATGCATTTTTTTAAAGTATCTAACATTCATAAAATGAGCCAAGAGGCAATTTTGAGTTCTAATTTTTAGCCACAATTTTTAGTAGTTTGTTTCCATAGTTCGGTCTAAAATTTTAAAACCAAAACCATAAGGATTTTTTGGTTTACATAACTTTCTCAAAGAAACCCAATGAATCCCCCTCCCATTACTGACCCATAAAAACTTGTTAAAAATAATTTCCACTTTGTGTTGCATACCCTTAGTAATTTTTGCCACTTGTAATGCATACAAAGGAAGAGTAGTGAGAACATGTAGTAAAGTAAACCTCTCTCCAAAGGATAATAAGGAATTTTCCCAACTTTGAAGTCATTTGGAAATGTTATGCACCACTTCGTTAAAAGTCAAACTCCTATTAGGGGAATTAGAAAGCTGCAAACCCAAATATTTAACTAAAAAAGTCGATTATAGACGCGGTTGCAGGTGGTTCCATTATGTCAAAACCTCAGATGAGGTCCATTCTTTGATTGAGGAGATGACAACAAATAACTTTCAGTGGCTTTTAGATCGAGCAAATCGTAAGAAGGTAGATAGTGTACATGACAAGGACGTTCTTTCAATTTTGACTTTTTAAGTGGCGGTTATCTGGAAATTAGACCAATTTTGGTTAAATCAGTCACAAGGATCTCCAATCATGGAGGATAATTTTTATGGACAACTGGTAGATCCAAGTGCTTTGTCAATCAATACAATGAATGCCATTAATAATAGGTTTAATAACCCTTATTATAATTCTTTCAATCTTGGTTGGAAGAATCATCCCAATTTTAACTGGATTAATAATAACCAAGGGATAAAAAATCAACAACTGGGGAATAATCAAGCTAATCATATAGGAAATTGGAATAATTAGGGTTGTACAAACTTAAGGCCACCTCACTCACATGGTTTTAACTCAAACCAACAATTTAAGGAAAATAAGTTGTCTCTGGAGAAAATAGTTTTCAAATAGAGAATCAATTATAGAGTCAAGCTGTAGCTATAAGGAATAATGAAGATTAATTGTGCCAAATAGCAATTTCCTTTAGCAATAAAGCTCTTGGAACTCTTTCTAGTAACACTAAAGTTAACCCAAAGGAGAAGAGTAACAAACACGTGAAAGCCATTAAATTGAGGAGTGGAAAGGAATTGTAAAAAGTGACTGGGAAGGGCCTGAGGTGGTAACAGATAACCTTGAGCCAAAATGACTAATTGAAAACTCTTCTAAGGACTTAGGATTGGGCAGGCTAGAGGATGATGTTTCTATCATTCAGATGGTAGTCTATGATTTAGCAGATCATATGTCACATATGGATTGGAAGAATAAAAGCCAATTCATTTGATTTGCTAGTTTCTAGGCAGCTCAGTTGGAGATTAATATGAGGAATCAGTGGATCAGAGGTGATAATTCCATTGTGCTCCAAGTTTACTGTCCTTACTAGCCCTACGAGCACACCCACCAGTCGATGAAGGAGGTTTATGAGGAGGATGATGATGAAGAGGAAGAAGAAGAAGATGAGGAGGAGGATTAGTGACTGTTTTCTTTCTGTTTGGATAAATAGTTTTTTTTTTTTTTATTCGTTGCTACATATTGTACCTTTTTTGGCTCAGTTGTATGAAGGAGGTTTATGAGGAGGATGATGATGAAGAGGAGGAAGAAGATGATGAGGAGGAAGATGAGGAGGAGGATTAGTGATTGTTTTCTTTCTGTTTGGATAAATAGTTTTTATTTTATTTTATTCGTTGCTACATCTTGTACCTTTTTTGGCTCAGTTGTACTATTATTGTGGAACTCCTTATATTTTTATTGTAATATTTGAACTTTTTTGTGCAATGTACTTTGTTAATGTATTTTGTTCCTAATTGATTTATTGATGATATGAGCATGTAGTAGAAACTATTACTGTTATTTATCTCCACATCTGAATTCATGCTCAAATTGCTGTACATGCTTAGAATTAAGTTTGGGGGAAAAAATCTCATGGTGCTGAAGATTATTTGTCCCTAGTAAATTAAATTTAATTAGTTGTTTTTAATTGACATGAGAAAAGTGAGGATACATATGGAATTATTAAAATTTTGAGAAAGGAGAAACATAGTTATCTCATTTTAACTATATGTAAGTTAAATTAGACTAGTGTTAAGTAAAGTTTGAAATTCAGCATTTGGAAAAGTGATTAGCATATTCACTTTCGAAAAGTATTAGATAATTGTTAAATTTGGTGCACTTAGATGTATCTTTCATAAGAGTTTAGTCTATAAGGAATTGCAATTTCTATAATACAATTTAAACTTTTAAAAGCATTAAGAAGTAGAGGAATGTGACATGTTTTAATTTAAAGAGCTGATAGTAGAATTCAAAATTATTACAATACATATCTAGATATAGTAATCCTCAAGGAATTGTACTTAGGATTGAAGCTTTAATCTTAAAGCATGAAAAGAAGAAAAAGGAAAAAAGAAAAGTTGTTTAAATGAAAAAAAAAAATTAAGGAGAAGCTTAAGAGGAAGACTTACAAAAATTGGTTATACTAAAACTTTTTTTAAAAAAAATTAAAACTCCATTACATTCTAAGTTTATTCATGTTTAAGAAATATTAGTAGACTATTTAAAGGAGAGCCAAATTCTGTTTATTTATTATCTAATGTGCATTATTTAGCAGTTAGTAATTCCTTTTTGAAATAAATATGAAATCATATTTTCTTTGTTGAATACAAAGTTTCTTATTACCTAGTAACTGGACTTATTTACTAGAGAATTACTTCTTCCTAACTATGGATCTATTGAGGCATGATTGTAGATAGTTTTCCATGAATCATTTCTAGAAGTTAACTATATCAATATTTAAGTTTTGGTGTTACTTGGGGACAAGTAACCTTTAAGTTTGGGGGATTTTGATGTGTAGATAAGTTAGAAAGTATTTCTTGATGCTTATACATATTTTAATGGATGAAATTGCACTTTAAGAAAAATATTTTTGTGTTTATCTTGCCGGTACAACAGGAAGTTAAAGTGATAAAACCAAAAAGAGACTTAGAGTTGAAAGGAGCAAAGTGGCACTGGCGCCTAGGCGCCAGTCCTGCCTTACCAACTTGAGAGGTTGGTGCTTAGGTGCCAACCATTGGCCACTAGGTGCCGCAATACTAGTGCCTAGGCTTCAAACCTTTGGGCGCTTAGGCACCCACCTATTCTTCAACGAACCGAGAGCTTGTCGCTTAAGCACCAGAAACTACCTGGAGCAGTTGCTGCAGTTTGTGACCCCAAATGCGGGGGATCATGTCATGAAATTGCACTTTAAGAAAAATATTTTTGTGTTTTTGCCGGTACAACAGGAAGTTAAAGTGATAAAACCAAAAGGAGACTTAGAGTTGAAAGGAGCAAAGTGGCACTGGCGCCTAGGCGCCAGTCCTGCCTTACCAACTTGAGAGGTTGGTGCTTAGGTGCCAACCATTGGCCACTAGGTGCCGCAATACTAGTGCCTAGGCTTCAAACCTTTGGGCGCTTAGGCACCCACCTATTCTTCAACTAACCGAGAGCTTGTCGCTTAAGCAACAGAAACTACCTGGAGCAGTTGCTGCAGTTTGTGACCCCAAATGCGGGGGAACATGCGGGGGATCATGTATCATGTCGGGTTGTTGGGGAGTTGTGGAAGCTGTTGGAGATTGATGCTCTTAAAAGTACTTAGTTGGTACTGCTTGGAGTTCCTTGTCCTAGTGCAGGGGAGGAGGAGATTTTCCAATGCAGAGGCATGGGGAATTAGAAAGTGTGCTTATTGAATCATCTTTTGATCATTGTAAAGGAGAAATTAGCTAAGTGTTTTTATATTTATGGTTGTTTTAAAATTGTATCAAATTGTTAGTGGATTTCTCTTTGATTCAATGAAACTGTTTGGTGCTTTCAACATGCTTCTTGGGTAGACCTTTACTTCTTCCTTGTGATGATTAGGTAGGATGGATTGAATGATTTAACCAAAATTGGCTCGAAATAAATTCGATCTTAAATTTTGGCTCATAACTTGGCTTGTTTATTTTGATCCGATCTCGAACCGAGCCAAAATTCAAATCAATTTTTAAGCAATTAAGAATCTTTGAGCTAAATTCGGTAAATTCATAGCCCTAATATTATTGTGGCTACGATCCGATTTTGAGCCAAGCTGGGGTCAGCTCAAAATAGGCTCGAAAAAATTGATCCAAAATTTTGGCTAGTAGCTCGGCTCTTTTTTTTTCGATCTAAACTTGGTCTGAGCCAAAATTCGAATCAAATTCTGAGCGATAAGCGATCTTTGAGATAAATTCATAGCCCTACTAACACAAAGACGAAGAAAGTATAAGAATGAACAAACTGATGCAGCTCGTGCACAAACACTGCATGTTCCTTCTTTCTCCTTTGTTTCCAAGCCGAAAACTAAAATTGCAGCTTATCTAGTTTTCACACTTGTGGACGAACCACAACCTGTTTTTCCTTAAAAGAGTATGCATCTTAAGTTGCAGTCTACGATGAAACTGAAGCAACAAGCCGTGCAAATGGAGGAGAAAATGTTTATGGTTTCTTAAGAATGCTCCAGATTCCATAACCAGACCGGATGAAATCTTGAGCTTTAATAAACGAATAATTCAAACGGACTAATTTATCCTTCAATTCACTAATATAATTTAGGACTGATTTGAGCAACTTTTAATACTCTAAGATTAAATTGGAACATTCTAAAATTTCGGGACTAAATTTGACCTTTCTTAAAATCAAGATACAATTTTGAACCATTACTCTAGTATTTTCATATGTGATATGAAATATTTGGATAACATAAATATAAATTGTATAGTCTCCATGTTAGATATGTAAATACAAAGGCATTAGGTGGCATGCAATTAAATGCTCCAAAAGATTTATATTTGATAAGTACAATATTTTGTGGAAGAGGTGAGACTCAAACCACCAATGAATGATTTTTGTTGAAAAGGCATATCCAAACTCACACTCCAAACATAATTAAAACTATTTATTTAAAAAATAATAATCATATATATATATATATATATATATATTTATCTGATATTAAAGATTTGAGTATTATGCACGCAAATATAAAAATTTAGATATGAAATATGTAAAAACCTAACAAACTTGTTCTATGCATGTAAATATTTTTTTGATGATTTTCTCATTTTTATTTATTAATGCTCCCTCTATTTAGCTATTCTTCTTATGAAATTTACAAGGACATAAGATTTAAAATATGAAAATAATTAAAAAGGATTCAAACCATTAACAATACAAATAAAAAAATTATATTATATTTTACATACAATAAATTTGAACTCAACTAATCCTATATATTCTAACCCTAAACAAAAAAAATTAATGCCACTAAACCTACTTAATTTCTCCCTAATCATCACTTCTCTATTTCAGAAACAATTCAGAGAACTACAATCTCAAACTTAACTAATCAACTAATTATTTTGCATTTTCTTCCTTGTTGTCCAACTGAAAGAGACTGAGTCGATCCGAAGCCAATCTTAGCGAGTACATTACCTTCTTGTATTCGTCCCATGTAAATGATCTGTATCTCTGTGGCTTCTCTCCCGTGACCATCTCCGGCAGAGCAGAGATACAAGTGTCAAGCGACGGCGCGGCGAAGAACATCAGGGATAGCCTTGACTTTCTCGTATTCGCCATGGCTCTATGCCTCACGCTCACGAACCTTCCATTTGTCATAGCCTACAATAGGGCTGTCAAAACGGTTTGTTGTTTGCGAACAACTCGTGTTCGGCTTATTCGCTAAGTTAATGAGCCGAACATGAACTAAGATTTGTTCGTTCGTGTAGTTGAATTTAAATTAATTCAAATCAATAAAGATAAATATATATATATATATATATATAGATTGATGAGTAGTATTTTAAAAAAATTTAATTTACTACGACTACAATGGTTAATGATCAATTAAAAAATAAAATAAAAATTATTAAATTAGATTAAAATAATGTTCTAAAATAAATAATAATTTTTAAATCTTGTCCTAAACCTTAACATCTTATGATTACGTGATTAGAGTTGTCAAAACAATTATTTGCTCTTGAACGGGTCGTGTTCGACTCGATAAGCAACTGAGCCGAACAAGAACACACTTTTTGAGCTTGAAATATAAACGAGCCGAACAAGAGAGAGCAAGCCGAGGCTCAACTTGTCTCATGTTCAGCTCGTTTACACCCCTAGCCTGTAACAGGAGCACATTGATCAAAACTATCTAATTTACCGTCCACAAAAGTGTCTAAATGTTCACCTGGAGCACATCACCAACATTGACGAAGAAAGCGGAAGGATCTGATTTAACTGGAATCCAAACCCTGTCGTTTGTGGGAGACTGTATTTGCAAGCCTTCCACGTCGTTGGATCTGAGGATGGTTAGGATCTGAGGGTCAGAATGCTCCCCAAATCCAACTCTCGTGCAGACCTTCTCGTCCTTATTTCTGGAGTTACTGTTCGCGTGATAGGGAGGGTAGTGATTTAGCCTGACGAGAGAGTCGCTGTCTCCATCTCTCACAAGCTTGCTGAAGCTGCTTCTGTCTTCAAGCCCTAATCCTTCTGCTAATATATCTAGAATTTCACAGCAGAGCTCTTTCACTGCCTCCACATAATTGTTCACCGCACAACTGTTGAATAAAGAGTAAGATAAACAACCTGAACGCACACAGTTCCGAGCGTGTATTTCACAAAATAACCTTCTAACAACTCAGTTATTGGGGTTATTGAGAGGTTATTAAAGTATAACTTCTCAATAACCCCTCTAATAACCAATCAATACATTTCGGGGTTCCGCGTTCATATTTTTTATTGTTATTTGGAAGATTTATCAGGTTATTGAAGGTATTACCTCCAATAACACTGACATAACCTTTCAATACCTTCTGAATAACATCTATACACACACAATTCTACATGCGTACTTCGTATGTAAATATTTATCCATATTAACAAATTACTTCTAAGTGAAAATGACATTTTTCCGTTTTCTTTTATTTTCTTTTATCTTTTAAAATTATATATATATATATATCTCAATTCATATGTATTTATATAAATAACTCCTAAATTTTCATTTTTACATATATGCTATCTTTTCTATATATGCAATATGTATTTCATCTTTTAAAAATAAAAATAGTGATATTTTTGATGTGATATGAAAATATTTAGGCGGTATAAATGTATAAATAAATCATTTTAAGTGTTTACTATGTAAATACATAAGAATTGGGTGGGATGTGTGTAAAATGGCTCTCTAATTTAATGGTGGAATTAAAGATAGGAAAATCTTGTGATCTTGAAAAGATGTGAACTAAAGCCGCCATTTGCTTTGTCCCAAGTGACAACCAGTTGTGGATAATTGTGACATGGAAATTACCTCCTTATTAAATTTTTGTAGCATTTATATACACACCACCCAATTTTCATGAATTTATATAGCAATCAGCTAAGTTTTTTAATATAACATAAGAAATATAATAATTTTAAATATTAAAAAATAAAATATGTTTTTTCATGAATGAATAAGATGATATGTTTGTAAATATTTGAGTTTAGAAGTTAGATATGTAAATGCATTGAGATTCTGACATGTAAATACAAAATATTATTCTGGTACTTGATCTTAAGTCTCCTTTACTTTGAATTCTTAGTAAAATATAAAAATAATTGCACACAAATCATCTGAAATAGTGATATTAATATAAAAAAAACATTCAGATTATTTTTTGAACCATCAAAATAATATATTTATGTGTGCCAATGGGTAATTTATAAACATCGAGTTTCAGATGATCTCTGTGTGAAAATGATTTTCAAACGCAATCATAAACACCTAAAATATTGATATTTATAAATTAACCATTCCGATGATTTTCTTGAACTGCTCAATCAATTTATTCGCGCGTCCCACTATCAAACTGTTGCGAATTTGATAAGAACGAAGGATATGAGTTCGGATTTTATCATAAGTTTTGATATTTGAGTGAGAATTGAAAAATGGTAAAAAGAGGAGGGTTTCTGTAAATACCACAATTTGGGTGAACTTTATAATAAAAATCGGAAATTTATGATTACCTGAAGTTTCTGGGATCATTCCTGTTAATAGTTCGAATTCTCTGGTAGATAGAAGAAGGATTTGTGTGGAAGAGAAGGTACTCAAGCTCCCCTGTATCTCCATTAAACCCAATCTTCTTGCTTCCGTAACCAATAGGATTGGGAGGTCCAGCTTTCTGCTTCTCTGAAGCAGGTAATGAAAAGAACCCCTCACTTTCTCTCTCAACATTCTGAATAATATCCTCAGAGACTCCATGATTGATGAGCTTGAAGAAACCGAATTCCTCAAAAGCTCTCACAATGAGTTTGCTCACTCTGTCTCTGTTCCATGAGAGGTCTATCAATGGCAAATCAAGCTGGAGGAGATCCTTGGTGTTCTCCTGCGTGATCAAATGGTTGACCACCATGGCTGCTTTTTTTACAGTGCTGAACAGTGAGGGGATGAAGTGGAGAAGGAGGGGGGTTTGAGAAAGAGATGAGCTTTGAGAGGCATTTATGGAGGTCTATTATGGAGTTTTTGAGGTGAGACAAGTGCAAAGGGCCAAAAGATCATATTTTTAGATTCCCACACTGTGAAAAATAGGATTAGAAGAAGCATATTGGTTAATAGCTATATGTTTCTTCTCAAGGGGTTGAAGAAGGAAGGAAAGTTCCTCTATTGACCATTTGCTTGAATATTTTGGGTGAGTGCTTAGGCTGTCAAAGTTGTCATCTTTGGACTTATTCTTGGTGGTTTCCTATGTGTGGGAGATGCATGGTTTATAGTGGAGATACAAGTGGCATGTCAACCTCTCCTCTCTCACCACATTGTCTAAGCTTGTTTGGCTTTGTTGTGAGGGTTGGGACTTTATTATGAGCATGTGGGTCTTCCATTTTGATTTCTTGGAAATGACTCATATATATATATATTGAAGGTAGACGTGTATAGAATAATGATTTGTTGGATTGACTCTATGCTGATTGGAGGTTTAAAGACTTGAAAAAATTAAGGGGTTCTTACATACATAGCACTTCAAAAAGTGATATTTATATATTTTACAACCTAAAATTTCTATTTACGTATGAAACGCTTCAAACCTTTCTAATACTCAAAAAAGAACTCTGTTAGGCTTCGTCCATCTCGAGTTGCTACAGGCGCGGACCCAAGTAGAGTCCAGTGGGGTAATTACCCCCACTCAAATTCAGATTTTTCTTATATGGGCGGGTAATTTGGTCTTTTGCTTCTATTGAAATATCAATTTTTTCCCTCATGAAATGTCACTTTTACCTTTGTTGCTCTAGCCCCTCCGACTTTGAGTCTAGAGAGGTAGTTTGGCCCCTTCCCCCAAAAAGTGGCTGGTTCCGCCCCTAGGCTGTTGTAATTCAGAACCTGGACTAATGCCTTTCCTCTTATAAAATTTAAGTCTACAAATTAGGCAATTGCCATGGCTTCATGATTAAAGGTGCCCTAGATAATGTGGATTTTAGCTGAAGAGTGTGGCGAATGATTTTCACTGGAAATAGAGAAGTAGAGTCGGAATTTCAAATGATTCTGGAGAAGAATAAGCTGAACATAAATAGGTGAGCCATGACAAAGGTAGTGGAGATGGCCTATCATTGATGAGACATAGAGCTTGAAAGTGAGCTGATCTTTTTTTGTTATTTACGAAATTGGAGTCAGCATTGGAGAATGTTGACACACACTAAGTACTGCGAAGCACTTGAAGCTCACGTAAGCATACGTGGCATATCAGTAGTAACAGGTTTGAGTCCGGATGTTAATCCCACAGGGAACAAGATGAATTTTAATTGGAAAAGGTCTAGCCTACCACTACCAATTCAAGCCTGAAGAGTTTGATTTGCAAATTCTTAAGTTAAGTATCTTAAATTTTAAAAGTAGTCCTATCATAGCAAGCCAAATGAAGTTTAAAATGAATTCAAGTTTCAAGAAATTTACCCTTTGAATTGATCTATTGGAGAATATCATTGAAGTAGTGATTAAAATTTAGTGTCAAACATGAGTTGTTCTATCCCTAATCCCCTTCTAGAGTTCTAAAGAAAATTTACTATCAAGAGTTTAATTCCCTAAATCCTCTGTTCAATCCAATTAAATCATCTCCTTGAATGTAAGCATAAACTCAACTGAAATATTCCTATTCCAAAGTGTTTAAGTGGTTAACTTCTGTCGTCCCACTATGTATCCTTCCAGATCGCATAGTTCATGAAGGATGTTAACATTTCTACGGGTAGGAAGTAAATTAAGCAAATCAGTTAATTAAACACTAATTTAACAATTATTAAGCAAATCACTACCACCATTCAATTCAAAGGAGAAACAAAGGATCTACTCACTTTTCATTATGAAAACCATCAACTCAAACTTTGTATTAATTATAAGCACAATTTTTTTCATAGAAATTCAAAAGAAAATCAAAACCAAATTTTACTTATCTCTTTCTTTTACAAGCAAGATGGATGAATTGAAACAAACATTGAATACACCTTTTGATCCTCTCAAATCTCTCCTTTCTTCTTTTTTAATCTCTTTGCAAGATATTTTTGCCTTCTCCTCCAACTCCCCACACAAAAATGACTGTAGAAAATATTGAAAATCCCCCTCTAATTCGTCTTCAATAGTTTTTTTCTGGAGAAGAAGTAATAGTTTTATACTTCTTCTCCAGAAAAAAAACTATTCAAGCTGCTAATTTTCATCTATGGTCTAATTTTGTGATCCTTTTAGATGATTTATTTTTAAGAAAATTAAAAAAATTGGGAGAAAAAAAGAAACAAAAAATGTCATCTTTGGCAAAAAAGGGTTATATTTTAACTATGAGTTTAGAACAAAGAGACTTAAGTTAGATGAAGGTCCAAGAATTTAAAGAGTGATTCGTTGTTGTTATTAAAGAGTGACAATCCTTTACATGATGACAATCCATCAAATATTTTTTAGAATAGAACAAAGAAACTTAGGTTTTTCTTCTTCATTAGGTGAGTGTTAATTTATTTTATTTTTATTTTTTTAACTTTTAATGTGTTTGGTTTAGATTTCTTGGGCTCACTCATCTCCATTTATTTTTTATAACTCACTCATTAGCTCTTAATCTTCCATACAGACATTTCCTCTACCGTAATTTGACATACCCCTCCTCCACAAGCCTTCAAAGCTCTCATAACTTATTAAAAACTATAGAAGTTTACGCTTACCTCTTAATGACATCATAGAGTACCCTATCGAGCCCACATACCCTCATTACATATATATATATTACTAGGAATTTATCTATCTCATCCTCACATGTACACAACTCCTCTTTGTATGCTTTTTCCACTTCATAGCTATATCAATGTTGCCCTCTCATACTTAAAAAGATACTTATACCCAACCATAAGTGGATTCCTCTCACTCAAAACTCCACAATATATTTTACCATTTAAATAAGGTTAAGATAAAATAAGATTAACAAATTTATTTTCAATAAGTGATAAAATTTGTTTTCCATTTATGGTAATATTTTAGTCCTACTTTTTAACTGATTAACTTTAGTATTTTTTGTTTTCCACATAACTCAAAAAAAAGAGCAAGTTTTTAAGAAAAAAATAAATTGTAATTACAAAAACTCAAATGATGAGCACCATATGAAAACCTTACCCCCTTTCCACTTCAAAATAAGAAAAACACCCGACAGGTTCAACTTGATATCTTCGTGAATCACACTTAGAGAATTGAGCATAAGTAAGAAGGGTAAAATAAAGAAAGTGAGGAAAGGCAAAAGTCTCAGAAGAGCAAAATTAGTAATCCCTTCATGCCTTTCCTAAGATTTCCCTTTTACATGTTAGTGTTCTGATATTTATAATAAATAGAAGACACATTATGAAATTGGTAATGCCCTTGAGATTCTATATTATCAATTAATCATAATAATTGTTAAGACAACTATTCCTTTTGTCAAATTCTTTTCTTATGAGAGTTGCATTTAATTTGCTTCTATTATGACAAGTCATTCATTTGCTTATTCAGTCAACCTTCTCGACTCAGTCGGTCAGATAATTTGCTCCGTGCCAACTGATTGCTCTTTGTGTTGTTGGGGTTGATTCTTCGACACATGTTCTATCCAGGGCCAACAAATTTTGTTCAACATATTTTGATCATATATATTTTGGTTCCTCGATTCTCTCATATATTAGTAGGTTGCAAGCTATTATAAGAGCGAGAGAATTAAATGCAAAAATGGCTATATTTTCATTCATTTAATTAATTTCCAATAATTTATATATTTTTTTTATTTTTGTGCACTTGACTGCTTATAAATAAGCAGTAGTTATTTTTTTCCAATTAGGCTTGATGCTTTTCCCTTATTCCATGCTCTGGTCGCCTTTTAGAGAGACTTCTTATGATGGTCCAGTTCCCATCCCGAGTAAGGTTTTGCTTCATGAACTATTTGCTAAGGAAAAAGGAGACAAGTGATGCCTTGAGGGTGGCCGCATGAAGAAGTTGAGAGTGAAGAAGAGGAGAGGCTCACCCTTGAGTAATGCTTCTCGATCGGCTTTCAGTGGTACTCTACTTATGAGTGATGCCTTGAGGGTGGCCGCATGAAGAAGTTGATAGTGAAGAAGAGGAGAGGCTCACCCTCGAGTAATGTTTCTTGATCGGCTTTCAGTGGTACTCTACTTATGATTGTGGATATCTCTCAGATGAAATCCATTATTCCATCATCCCATACTCCTATGCATCCTCCCATAGTCCCTAATTGACGGAAGGCTAGACTTTCATGCCACCCATTGGTTCGTTGTCATTGCACCAGATACACCCATAATGGTTGAGGTCATCTGAAATGATTAGAGTTATGTGTATGTTTTATTGTTCGTTCAACGTATTCTATGGTTGATTGTCGGCTGATGAATTTATCAATGGTAGGAATGATAGATGATGAGATCCCTCTAGGTTTGAACATGGCTTCACCCGTGTTGGTCAAGATAGGTGGCCAGATGATTGAAGGAGGCAGTCGACCCACCAAAGGGGAGACCAAGTTGACTGCCTCACCGACCTCTCATTTTCTAATGCAACACAAGGAGAATGGGTGCATTCAGCCCGTGCAAATTAGGAGGAGCTAGCCCACAATTTATTTGAGATTAAAGGCTCTATAGCTCATAAAATTGTTGTCCAACAAAATTCTAAGGCTCATACTATATTGGCTTGCATGGTTTAATTGGAAGAAGAGCTATTCATGGTGATGAAGATCATGCTTACTTTACAAAAAAACCTTGCATATTCGAAAGTGCTGTCCCAGTTTCTCCAAGATCAGATAGAGAGTACTAGATTGAGCCAGTTTAAGTCTGGTGGTGAATTTTTTTTGGACACTGGTTCAGCTTGATAAGTCTCGGCTGAAACGACCTCACACTTGTGTATTAACTATTTTCTCACTCCAAA